TTGGAGAAGTACTTTGCATTTCGATAGAGCAAAGCATAGCCCAAAACGATTGACAGCTAGTGCTAATCGGTCCAATGCTGCTTGGCGTGTTTGGGAGCTGTCACAGATAACGATAATATAGTCCGCATACTCTAAGTCAAAATGTAGCTTACCAGGAAGTAGCTCTACACCTTCTAGGTCGTGTCCAGCGAATACTGATTCCATGACTTCATCAAAGGCGAAGTTAAAGTGGAAAAGTGACAGCGGACAACCTTCTCTTACGCCGCTGGAGCTACTGAAGGGTGACGACAGTTTGCCATAAACCCTCACTCTAACCGATTTATGCGCGTACAGCGCTTTGATAATGTTTACGTATTTAGCAGGCACACCTTTCTTCAGCAGACAGTCCCGAAGAGCACGCCGATCGACTGAGTCGAAGGCACCTTTTTCTCAGGAAACATGAGAACGATGGATCATAAATAAACACGGAGGTGCTTTAACAATTGAAGCTAGGTGAAGATGTGGTCGACGCAGCCCCAACCTCGACGAAACCCGGCTTGCTCTTCACGAAGCTGGTTTTCAGGTGTGTCAGTCAGTCTGTGGAAAGTGACAAAGGCAAGCAATTTTGAGGTAATCGAAATCATTCGAGCAAGTTGAAATCACCCATGAGTAGGAACATCTGACGACTCATGTGGTTGCAGACATGCGGCAACCAGTCCAAACTGCGGCTCAGTGGGCTGCGATATACCACGCGCACGAGTAGCTCGCAGCGTCTGAGGTAAATCGAACACCATAACTGCTCACATAGACCATCAGCGCTTTGGTAGTCGCTCACTAGTCTCCCACACAAGGAAGACTTTACGTAAAGTAGAACGCCACCGCGATCATTTGATGGTCTATCACAGCGGAAACATGAGTAGCCGGTGATTTCCACTTCTTGGACGGTTACCTCGGAGTTTAACCATGTCTCAGCAAGGCCTAATACGTCTGGTCGCTGAGAGTTTACAAAATCGTACAGCACATTGCGCTTGTTCATCAGACTGCATACGTTAGTAAAGGCTACGCGCAGACCGCAGTAGGAACCGCTGGGCGCGCCTGAAGCATTAGAGACCTGTTGATCCGGATTAGTGGAGGAATCCGGGCAAATACTCGAAAATTTACAATGCGCAGATTGGGTTCTCCATCCTCTGTGTGTCGCTTTAGTTCAACCATAGCAGACTTGAGCTTTTCTCTGTCTGCCGGGTCTAAGTCAGCGCGCACGTGAATCTTTAGGCCCTTCAACCTATGAAGACGGGACAAGAGTAAATTGGGACTTGATTCGTCGTCAAAAGTTACCCTCATAGGCAGACTTTTGCCCTCCATTCTTCTTCCTAGACGGGCGATCTGCTGAACTTTGAGCCCGCTCTCATTTACATCGAGTTGTCTATCAATCAATGATTGTAAAAACTCGACGTCCTGCTCATAGCGCACCTGAGGGTTGGAATCACTTGATTCAGGCGCGTGAAATATCATGAGGCTACGGCGCCTCAGGTAGTTAGAACCGAGTACAGATCGTGCGTCCGCATTTGCGACACACTTCGCCTCCGTATTTGCAAGTGACCCTGTGTCTGTAACGATTTCGACGAGTACCGCACCAGCCGAACTTAACAGCCTGGACTGCAATATTGAGGATGTGCGCAAGCTTCTAGCAAATCTTGACGGGACAAAGCCTGCTGGACCAGATGGTATGCACCCACTGATCCTCAAGTCCCTATCGGCCATCATCGCGCCTTCTGTAACTGAACTGTTTAACAGGTCACTATCCACTGGACTGTTACCAGACGACTGGAAATGCTCAGTCGTAAAGCCTATACCGAACGGTGGTAACCCAAGTAAAGTGGATAACTACCGGCCGATCTGCCTGACTGCTGTTTTGGCAAAGACGCTCGAGAAGATCGTGAAGATGAAGCTTCTGCAGCTTCTCGAGTCGAAAAACCTGTTGACCTCCGCACAGCATGGTTTCATGAAAGGTTGCTCGTGCATCACCAACCTACTATTGACAAGGCACGAGTGGTTACAAGCGATGAACCAAGGCCATTCAGTCGATGTCATTTACATTGACTTCAGTAAGGTTTTTGACAAAGTCAACCATGCAGTGCTCCTTGACAGGCTGAGGATGTACGGTGTTGGTGGTTCGCTACAAAAATGGATCAGAAATTTCCTTGTGGATCAGAAGTGGAGAGTCCAGGTGGACAACCATCTAACGGACTAGTATTCATCGAGCAGCGGCGTTCCCCAAGGCACTGTACTGGGGGCCGATATTGTTTCTGATCCATGTAAACGATGTGCCTAAGCTACTCCAGTCACCATGTGCGTTGTTCGCAGATGACTTGAAGGTGTGGAAAGTAATCCGCACACTCAATGATTATGATTTACTTCAGCAGGATCTCGACAGCCTCTCAACATGGTCTACAGAGGTTAACCTTCCGATCAACCCTGCTAAGTCGCAATTCATGAGGTTGGGTAAATGTGAGCACAGCCGAACGTACACAGTGGCTGGTCAACCGTTGCATCCCGCTCCTTTCGTGCGCGACCTCGGTGTGCTCTCACGCTGCGACCTAAAGTCCATTGACAACACGAATAGGCTGTACCAAAGCAGCCTTCGGATGCTTTGGGCGCTCAGGCGCAGCTTCAGCACTTGGTCCGAAGAGATTGCCACTCGCCTCTTCGTCTCGATAATACGACCAATGCTAGAGTACGGCTCTCCCGCATATTGTCCTATCACGCTGGGCGAGGTAGAAAAGCTTGGGCGGGTGCAGCATGTAGCCACTAGGCTGATTCCCAACTTACGAGGTATGCCATATGAAGACCGATGTAAGAAACTAGGGCTGTACACCCTAGCATATCGTCGGCTGAGGGTTGACCTAATCATGACGCACCGGGTATTACATCTGAGTGATTACCCCATGTTGAGACAACTGCTTCATCTGCGCACACCAAGCAGCACGCGAGGACACCGGTACAAACTTATCGTACTGCAGTTGAAGCGGGTAGCTCACCAACTCTGTTTCGAACGTAGAGTGGTGAATACTTGGAACAAACTGCCGCAGTCGGTAATAAAGGCGAATTCAGTGGCCGAATTTAAGAAGCTTCTAGACAAACATTTCGCAGAGGCAAAATATAAAGAGCGAAACGATAATTAATAGGTTGATGTCCAAGAGCGACAATTGATGCAGCTACAAAGAGGGTGCTCTACTCGCTGCTTCTAATCAGTATCACTATCAGTATCACACTGAGCCATCTATGAATGTCGCATTCCGAAAGAGAGACTCCCTTGGAAATTGGGACAATGACGGTGCGGTTCCAGCCTGTCGGTACAGATTCCTGCTCCCAAAGTTTCACTAGCAATACGTTCAAAAGATCTACTAGGGCAAGTCCCCTGAATTTGAAGAGGGTTGGGGGAATTCTGCCTGCCTCTGCGGCCTTATGCAATTTCAACAGCCTGATCTCACGTTTGACTTCTGCTCGTGAGGACAGATCCAATGAGACGGTCCAGAGTGAAGGGCGCTCAATGCTCGAAAATGAAACCGATAACTCAGGTTGGTTAAATAGCTTTACAAAGGGTTCAGCCCAGCGCTCCAATCGTTTTTTCAGGCTGTGGATAGCCTGTCCACTCTCCTCGCGTATGGTTCTGCTAACACCAGATCTCCTGCTGCCTGTTTCCTATATCAGACAGAATAATTTACGATGATTACCAACGGCAGCGGCTGTTTCCATTTCAGAGGCACGATGAGACCAACAGGCTTCGCGGTCTTTCTTCAGCCTGACACGCAGCTTTTCCCTGAGATCTTTGCGAGCCTCATTGTATTCGCTTCCAGGCGGAATACGTCGTTGAGCACCCGTAACTTCCAGGGACTGTGTAGAGACCCAATGACTAGGTTGGCAGTTTGATTTGCCACATGAAGACATGCCTGCTAACAGTAACGTTTTACGAATATGCGACCAGTGATCTTCGACGGTGCTTAGTGGGTGCTTACTCAGCCCAAATATCAGTGCACTTTGATACGCATGCAGAACACCTGACTTCGCCAGCTGGCTGGTGTCAATCCGTTCACATTGACGTTGTGGGCGTCCACCGAAACGCCCCCGGAAGCCGGCGCTGACAAATGCGTGGTCAGAGTCCAAGCTCGTGCTCCAAATTGAGCGACAGTTTTGGACACAGCCTCTCCAGCGGTAACTGATCGCGATATGATCGATTTGCGTCCATGGCTGGCCCGAGGCTGGTGGCCGCCAAGTCACGATTCTGCGGGTGCTGTGTCGAAAGTTAGTGCTCGCGAGAAACAGGCGAGCATCTTAGCACTGCTGTAGCAATATTGTTCATTCAGGTTGGCATTCCCACTTTTGAGACATGGTGTGATACTGAGGATGTTCTCAGCACAAAAATTAGGCATTTTGCATCGTGTTTGTTGATTCCTGAAGAATCTGTTATACCACCTGAGCTACCGAGGGCTGACGATTAGGTGCGCAAATTTTAACACGTGACTTCTGCTTGGTGCACGACGTATTGCAGCGGACCGGAAATTCGTGGACCGGGGTTCGACTCCCCGTCGAGGCATATTATTGTGCGTGAATTTTAATCGTGACTTCCACTTTCTACAAACTTTACCCTACTCACAAACTTCCAACATGAATCTGTTATACTCAACTAATAGCATCTATGTTTACAACTGCCTGACTTTAATCTTGGAATCCCGTGTCACTTCACCTACAGGTTAGCGGAAGTACATTGATGGAGACATATCTGGATGTGGCTACCCCTTACAGTCTTCATGACATTCATGACTGTTCAAAATATCTCGCATTGTAGTTGGTTCACCCATTATTGGCAGAAAGTAAGGTGTAGTGCGCATGCAATGTCTGTCCGGATAACTTGGTTACTCGTTATACTGCGACATCAACAACATCATCGCGGTTAATCGAAAATGGTTTCCATTTCGGATAAACTGGTACCCCTTTACGCTAAACATTGGAGGAATTTAGTTGTTGGATCAGAGAGAAGTATATTTACAAATAGGAAAGATATGCTAGGTTAGAAGCTCAGTTGTGCCCCATCAGCCCGTGGCGTTATTCAGCCTCACACAATCCGGTGAGTACATGGTCGCCAACATCTCCGACAGACCAAGGTTCCCATCTCAAATGGAGCATTCATTTCCCATGTCTTGTCCGTATCTGATAGAGGTGAGAAGCGAAATAACGCGAGGACAGACTTTTGGTTCGAAAAATATTCCTAGGGTGCGAGTGATAGTATTCCGTTATTCCCCGAACCGGGTATTTCAGCTGCGTTTCTTCACCAGTCTAACTAATATTGTCAGAGCATCTTCAGGTGACGAAATATTTGCACATAAAATACTAAACCCGGAGGAAACCGAGCAACCAGATATACGATTTAGACTTTCAAACAAAAGCGTGGTAAATGAAGCTGTAACTTCGTAGCGGACTAACGCTACCTAACGTTCCTCAGTCAATGGTCTGCCGAACGAAACCGACGTCACCACACTGTCTCCTAAGCACGTGAACATGCGTATTCCACATTCACAGCTTGGACACGCAATCGATCGGAATTAAATAGCGTTGTGGTCACGCGATGCGTTTGCTGACATTCTATTGGTGGACAGCGGCGACCTACATGGCGTAGCGTAGGCTATCCATACGCCCAGCGTGTCCTTCGCTTGTTCCAGTGCAATGCTCAGTATCCTTTTAACTGCTCACATAGGGGCTACGGATTGTTACGTGTTCCTTCACAAGGAAGTGTCCAATGTTACTGGTCCCCCTTTTTCCATCACACAATTAAAGGTCAAACGGACCACTAAGTTCATTCGCGCATAGCCCATCAATCAGCAGAGAAGTTTCGCTCTTCTGACCGTCAAGTCTGGCGACCCGGGGATTCAAGCTTTTCATGCGAAGCCAGAACCAACATAACTATCGTTAACAATTGCGCTAGAGCTGCTATGGCCAAGTGTGGTACCGGATTTCAAATGACTTTGTCCTGGATCCCGGGAGAGAATGGAAGTGTCCCGAAGAACGCAATCAGCTTGGCCGACGGGGTCTACATATGTCGCGCTGACCATGAGGGAGAGCTGATTCCAGGCACATTAGATTCAGCTGAAAAATTGGCGTACGTGTCATACGAAGGCGAGGTACATGCAAAGCATGCCTACGAAGTTCTCTGCGATACTGGAATCAAGTCGCGGTCCACGTGAGTTTCGTTCACACTATGGGATGCTAAAACCAGTGTTGGTTTGAATAATGTGTGTAATTTGGTGTTACTGTAGCTCATTGATAGGATACACAAACTGCTTTTTCACACTGGAAGTCTGCTATACTATTAATCGTTGCGTCGATATATGCATGTTCCCGTGACTACAACTCATCAAAAGCCTACTGTGCAAGAATTCATTAATCCACTGCTAGTTCTTGCTCGGAATGTTAGCAAAAGAAATCGCGCTAAGTTCGCACTACCACACAGTTGTCTTTTACGACTGCTTATACTGTTATAGCAGTTTAGCGGTCCCCTGGTTTCCTAGCATAAAATGTTGACAAAAATTACCATTGCGTCGTATACTTAGACGATCGATGCGGATTGTTGAGCTGCATGTTGAGTTCGATTGTTTGGGTCAAGCGCCGCGTCCTTAACACAGTGTTTTTCTGTCTTGAAGCACGCCACAGGTATACTATGGTCTGTGTCTTTTTCGGATGCATGTATTTCCCTGTAGAGCAATGACGATGGTGGTTGGCGAGGCGAAACCCATCAAGGAGCTGTCCCATGAGCCATCTTAGGGGCCGTGGTTGAAAGAGGCGGTGCGAAGACATGATGACGTGTGAGGATGAAGGTCTATTGCAGAACTCAGTCCTTCAGGGACAGTCGGTTTGTTCGACGAAGCAGGTTCGGTATAAATAACAGCATGATTAGGTTGTACAAACATCGATGTAAATAACTAGGCCACTTCCATAGCTAACGACGTTTCTGAATTCATGAGATTCTTCCCCTGAATCAGTAAAGCAAACTAACTAGCGCTGCCATCTACGAACCAGTCAGCATAGACGAAGATGCGTAGGCGTCCAGTCATCTGCTTCGTTCGCTTGTGGTAAGCTAACCGCTTGCTTCGTCACTACAGATCCGTACCGTTCTTTTGCTTGCATGATCCCACCACGTGATACACATTCCACCGCTTTTAGACTAATCATCTTTCTCGTGTCCTGACTCAAGTGTGCAGATACAAAGGGTTCTTTGGGGACTATGTCTTATCGCTAAATGTGGTTCAGTTATTCTAATGGAATCGCTGGATACACTTCTATTCACACGGATCTGACTGTGCTGGTGAACTTGCTCGATAACATTGCAACTCGTTCAGAATGCACCCGGAAGCGACTTAATGTTGCGCTGCTGTCTGTGGTGTTCGCTGCCGGATGAACCAAATCACGGAGAGAGAAACGAAAGTAAACCTTGACTGACTGGGCATAGTCTGTCCTAAATATCGACAGTATTTATGGGTTAATTATAATTTCCTGAATAGGCATCTCATTTTTTCAATCGTGTGCGCCTCATCATTCTGATCGCGTCCTGACTTAGCCGATTAGCTATGATACACCATCTATGGTAATCCTTTCCCTTCCAATAACAACCTTACCCACATTGTCGATGCACACTCGCAGGATTTTGTCAGCTGCTTACGTCATCGCTGTGCTCCAAGGTTCGGTTGGATGGTCGCGCGCGCTCTGTTCCAAGCCTACCGACGATCGCCAGACCTTGTTAGCTACTCAGATGACCCATCACAAGCCAACGCACACTGTAGGTTCCTTCCCGCTTTGTAATGCCCTACATTTGGCCAACCAGCACTTAACGTTGAACATTTTCAAATCATTTCCCGACGAGTTTACTTTCAATGCGAACAAAGATTTGCAGCTTTAGAGTATCGCGGCGAAAAACGTTTAACGTTTGAATTGACAGCCCGACGTGATAGATTTGGCTGGGACTAGCTGATCCCATTGGCAGTGATGTGGCTATGAGAACTGGTTTGTACACATGAGACTAAAGATAGCGATGTTGACATTTGTACTTAATTGTTGATGCTATTAAAACCTTATCTTTTCCACCTGACACTAAGAGACTACTGCGTCACAACATGTAAGGACACGTTCGCTGTGCATAACATTCTCTCGCGTTGTATGCCGTCGACACGTCAAACTGGGTGCCAACAAATTCATATGAGAAACAAAAGTTAGCGAAGAGGCTTCATTTCGGTGGATCTCATCAGGCTTATACACCTTATTTGATAAGAATAAAGTGCGCGAAATACATCCGACAATGGCAAAGTGCAAAGTCTTTGTTAACTGAATGACCGGGCTAGGTGTTTGGTTCAGTAGCGGTCAAGGACATGTGAGTGGCGAACCGAACCTTCTTTCGGAAGAAATGTTGTCTAGTCATATGTTTCGGAGCATCAGAGCTTTGCACAACATGAACGAATTAGACGTAAACGAAGAAGAACAACGGCATGGCCGAGTTCAGCTGGTCTTACTTCAAAGCTTTAATCTGAGCACAAATAATACCAAAATGCAAACGGTAGAATCTGTTTATGTTTCCTCGAATAGTTGAATGTTTTCTACACTAGGGGTCCAAAAATTATGGTTCGTGGGTCGGATCTGGTCCGTGTAGAACACCGTATTGATAATGGGTTGCTGAACATTCGTCTTTTCAAGACAAAAACCTATTATGTGAGACAACCATCTGTATGTTACTGTATGCCGATGACTGCATGTTGTTTGTACACAGCGAAGATGAGTGGTAACGTACGATGACGACTCTTGCTTCAACGGCGTCCAGGTTCAGGTTCATCGTAAACAAGCACCACTTTTCCAGCCATCACCCGGAATATAATGCGTGGGCTAACCGCATTTTAAGATTAGTGATGATGTTTAGGAGACTACATCAAGAATTTGCTACCTCGGGAGCGTACTTTCTACCGACCTACAGATGACCAGCGATGTCCGCATTCACGTACCGAAGCCGGGCGCCATATTTGGAAAATTGAAGCATCGGGTTTGAAAGAATCACCAGTGGGCTGTTGGGACGAGGTTGTCAGTTCCCCTGTAAGACAGCGAAACTTCAATCACCGTTATTTAGAGCGTTTTCATTAACATTGCCTGCGTCGGACTGCGCATCGGTTGGTCTGACAGAGTTGCACACACGGAAGTGCTGCGCCGAGGTGGCCTATATACAGCAGCTGTGATGGATCAGACATGTCCGGGAAATGCATTCGACGAGGATACCCAAACCCTTATTATATGGTCAACTGCATGCAGGAAAATGGAACGTGGAATAACCGAAGTTGCCTTAACAGGACATGGTCAAAGTGAGTTTATCAGGAACTGATGTTGATTTGAGGTGCTGGGAAGCGATGGCAATGAATCGGGGTCGATGGGGAGAGCATAACAAGAGAGCGCTTGCCCATATGCGTGAAAAATCCCTGCTGCATGCGGAAGGAAATCGCTGAGCACCGGGATGACAGGCGCCGATACATTCTAACCTGTCGATGTCAAGCACTAGTGCAAGCGTTATGAGGCCCTCCCATATGGATAAAATTGACAAGCAAATCCGGTATATATATATATATATATATATATATATATATATATATATATATATGGTGGGCGGCATCCGGTTTCGGATTTGTCTGTCACTGTGGCAAGCCACAGGACGCCTGCGCCTACAGAGGAACCATGGGTGGCTTACGCTGCACCACCCACAGCTCCACCCGCACACCCCATGTCTAGTGTAAACCCGAAGAAATAAGACCGGGAGGCATGTGGATGGGAGCCATGTTTCATCAAATGAGCCCGCCCACACTCCTTCGCAGGCAAACACAAGCACTGTATTTGGGGAATCAAGCGCACACAAGGCGGTGGCTGGACCGTAGTCTGCTTCACACTGAGTGCATGGAACCACTCTTTGAGCCTAGCACAGCTACAAGGACCGTGCACCCCGTCCCCTCCATCAACGATCAACTGTCTCCTGGAGCCAGTATGGACGAGGTAGTGGGTAATAGACAGGTAGGCACCTTAGCAACATGCACGTCAAGCGCAGCCACACCGGGGATATCATGCAACAGCCATTCACTTTAAACGACAAGCTGAAATAAAATAAATCCAATAATGCATACAGATACGGTGGCATAACTCTTCCCTAAATTACCATACGAAGTAAGTTGGTTAGCAACGAATCCACGACAAGTAAGAAGTGTCCACAACGTACTTAAAAATGTTACAAACGCAACCAAATTACCGAAGGTAAGCGCAATTAGCGTAAGCAACGTGGTCAGTTAATAGAATATTATTCAGATAGGCAGAACAAATCAAATAAACTGGAATGAAATTTATGCAGCTTAAAGAGACCTAGTTTAAGTGTAAGTGGGTTTAGCCCAACTGCGGTGAAGAAGCATCATAAATGCAACATCAGCCTCACCATGGGGCGTATATATATATATATATATATATATATATATATATATATATATATATATATATA